GTGCTGTACATTCTTTGTAACATCTTTGTAACTGATGTAACACTGGGGGTAGGCTTCTTGGTTTCTCATTAGCAGGTAGTATGTTACTTTGGGGAGGAAGGAAGCAAGCAAGAAACATAAAGAAAGTAAAGGATTCAAGGAGTTAGTAACAAAGCTGTATCACACCAGAGAGAGAGAGGGTTCAAGAAAGATGGCATAAAGCATCAAGCAGCTTGCATAGTTTCTATTCCAGTCTCAATGTGGAGGCAATAGCACTTGTGGACACAGTTTAGTTTTGTTTATTTTCCTTTATCTTTTCTGAGTCCTTACTTTCTGGGCTTTTCCCTCATTAGTCGCTGTGCTTTTTCATACGGCTCCAAGCCACGAGACAAAGTGTTTTAAAGCGTTATGATTCTGAACCAAGGTTGCAGTAGGGTCATCTCACGGGAAGAAAGGGTTGTCTGAGAAATTATAGTGGTTAGCAGAGGTGTAACAACGCTTCACGTTATTATTCTTTTAATTGGGGCTTGTCGTGTTAATAGTTGGACTCCTCAGTATTCGCAGACCACTGGGGTCTAATCAGTGTCAATGACTCTGACTGTACTGAATGTTCTTTACGGTCTCCTGCATTGACACAACACTGTAAATATCAATCCAATAAAACTTTCTGTAAATACGCTTGCTTTTGAAGTGCGCTCCATGTTGTATTATAATCGCTCTCTGTTTTTTATGATTTTTTTTTAACACATCAATGATTGGCTTATTACATCTGTGCCATTTGGAATTCGTTTTCAACCCAACAAAGACGAGTTTTGTGACAATTGTTTCCATGCCAACCCCTTGGGAACCAAGAAGAAAAAACAGCCAGCCACGGAAAGTGTTTCAATTTATCTTTAACTTAGAGTTGACGGGGAATAAACTAAATTAAAATGAATAAAACTAGCACAGAGAAGAGAGAGAAAAACAACATGTGAGGTCGCGTCTTGAGGAGTGGTAATAAAATATCAAAATACCCAAACTTGTGGTTTGATTTTTTTATAGTTAAATATCAAGAATAACTTTGAGACATTTAGCGCTTTGAGATGTCCTCCCAACATAAAAGGCTCTCTATAAATATAAATGTAATCTTAGAAAATTGGTCACTCAGTCCAATTGTTTGGTGGTCGGTGATGCCATCCTTCGGAAGAGACATTAAACCAATGGCATATCTGCCTGCTCAGATGGACATTCAAGATCCTATTGCACTGGACAAAAAGAGAGGCGAGTTCCTCCTAATATCCTGGCCAGCAGTCCTCCAGATAAAAAAAATTGGACATTCACTTCATAACCATTTGTGGAAATTACTATGTGCAAATTGGTTGTCGCATTTGCATACGAATACACAACCACTACTGCACTTTACAGAAAGTGCTTTGAAAATGTTTTGATGGTAAGGCACTATATCAAATGCAAGGATTAAAATAACTGAGGTCATCTGCTGTGAACACAAGTGGTAAATGGCTGAAATTCTTAAGTGTTTTAGAGAAGTATCTATCAATATATTAGTTGCCGCATGTGTGTGACTATCATTTGTATGTAGCATATGACAGATGTTCTCTGCACAACTCAAATGGAGTGAGTCACAGCGTGCATCTGTCAAGTTATTTAGATTGGTCTCGAGGTCATAACCCTGAATGTGTAATTAAAATTGTGCCGCCATAGGTTGCATTCACTGGGTCGAGAGACACGAGCCCTGATATAAAATTAGTTCCTTACTTAAATTAATTGAAATGCACACTGCTTGGTGCACAAGTCTGAAATATGTTAAAAGATATTCGTGTCTGGACTTGCTTTTTGCTAATATTAAATTGTAGTCTGGGTTATTGATTCCACTGCTTCAAGTGCAGATTGATATTCTGAAAGTGATTAAAGTCTATTTGAAACCGAGATGACTCCAACTTTAAATTATCTTTTTTTAATCTGCAAGTGGGTTCTCGTAATCAACAGTGATAGGATGGATCATTATTTCTAAATTAGCACAGTCATATTCTGTCAATAGAATAAAAGGCCATCCACATTGTCTTGGCTTCTACTTCAATCCCAGCCACCAATGTGACTGTTCCCACTTTCCACATCACCCAATTTGAAGGCATCTCTGAGTAAAATTCCCGATGATTTGTGGTTGATTTTTCACTATGAACGCATGGCACTAGGGTTCTGAAATTCCCCCCAGTCTTAGCCTGTAAGGCCATTTTAACTTAAAATTTAAGATCACACAGAATTGCGGAAAATTCTTAAATTCAGTCCTAATTTGAAAAGTCCTGAACAACTGAATTTCCTAACAATTTTCCACATTTCTGCACAATCTTAAATTTAAAGACAAAATGCTCTTACAAGCTAAAGACTAGGTAAACGTTCCGACCGTAAAGGCATTTAGAGCCAAGAGCACAGAGGAGAATATCATCACAACAGTCTGGCTTGGATTTGACCTGAGATCCCAAGGTCAAAGATCAGTGCATTAACCCACTGTGCCAGCTAGGCCTCCGGATAGCCATTTATTAAAATAAATCTGATTTCATTCCAGTGTTTGTAACAAATAGCACTTGGAGCAGACTACATCCTGCTGCAATTCGTGAGGTCAATTTGCACTGAATTGCTGCTATTGACTTAGACGCCATTTATTTTGGGCGTAATATTATGTCGGAATATTTATCCCTTGAAGGCAAATAAGCAGCACACATGTGAAAGAATATAAGATAATGGGAAACAATGGCATTGTAAGTAAAGGGAACAGACATCACTGTGTCCCCATATTAAAAAAAACTTTGCATATCAATAACAATTTACATTTATATAGCACCTTTCATATTGGGAGAACGTCTCAAAACAATTCCCACAGCTGACTGGAACTCCGAGCTTGCGGGGTTGGGAGAAAGCCCAGAGGGGGAGAGTTAGAGGATAAAGTTACCAAAAGAATCGTTGAAAAGATAGGTCTTAAGGCGGCTTCATTGTTGGGAAGGAGCAGGTGAGACTCTGGAATGGAGTTCCAGAGAGTGGGGGCAGAATGGTTAAAAGCTAATCCCCCAATGCTGGGGTAGGTAAGGCATGAAGCAGACCAGTACTTGCTGAGCAGAGTGAGCAGCCGGGTGGTAGGGTTGCAGGAGGTCACAGAGGTAAGTGGGGTGGAGGGATTTAAACTTCAGGGTGAGGATCTTGAATTCGATCCCCTGGGGGATGGGGATCCAATGGAGCCAAGCGACAATGGAGGTGATGGACTCACTCACGGAACTAAAATTTTGAATACTTCTATACAAGTATAGATGTCTCCTTTCAATACTCTTACAGCAACAGAATAAATAGAGGTCACAGAGGTAGGTAGGGTAGAGGAGGAAGTACTTACCCAGGGTATCCCCATGGGAGTGTATCAATTTCATGTCATTTGGTGTCAGTCCGGGCAGTCTGTTTGTGGCTCTGAAACCTTGAGGGATGTGTGCACCGTCCCGACCAAAGGCATTGCCGGCCGGTTCCACAGTTACAACCACCAGCTTTTGGGTAAAACCATTTTAAATTAAAAGAGCCATGGAGGGGGAATGGGGCGGGGGACTTCTTTATCTCTCTGACCTTCTCATACCCTACTTCTTCCATCATCCTCTCTGCTCACCTGACTCGGGCTTGTTGCCTCTCCACACCACCATAAGATCTTACATCTCAAACTGCTGGAACTGTCTCTGTTACTCAGTCTCGCGACCGTTCTTTCTATCCTTAAGTCCTATCTGAAATCCTACTTCTTCAAATGTGCCTATGGCCATCTTCCACCTCACAGCCTCCCTTGCTTGGCGTTTAAGCTTGTTCTTGGAAAGTACCTTATGTGAGGGTTGCAAAATAATCTCTCAATGCAATTGACAAGTGTAGTGGTGGAAATAAGTCATCTAAAGTTGTTTTTCAAAGGCTCGGTTGAAGAGATATATTTCATGAGGTTTTTGAAGTTCTGTAGGAAAGATAACAAGACAGAGTAGTTTGGGGAGTTAGTTCCAGGAGCTCGCTGGCTGAACACTCAAATATCATTGATAGAGCGAAGGGATTGGGTGAAGACACCTGTCTCTATTCCAACGTCCATGAAGCCAGATTGTGACTAGAGAAAGATTCCTGTTGCCCAGGAGGTGCCCCAGCAGATTGGCCTCGGACACATCCCCCTTCCTACAGGACTTGCAAGTTAACAAATTTACAAGTATTGCAAACCAAACGTCAGTATTTAGATTTCATGAGATTTCATGATGTCTCGTGCATTGGGTAAAATTCAGTAAAGCGTAAGTTTGTTATTCCAGATTAATGCAGTCAACCTCTTTAAGAATGTGCTATATTGTATTAAATCCTTTTCAGTTTTCTGGAAATTATTGAAACTTGCCATTCATAAAGAATATTAATGTACGCTAGATGAACTCCTCCATAGTTTATTGGTCAATTCACTGTGCAGTCATTACTGGTTTGGAGCCATACAGGCCAGAAAGATTCTGAATTTGGTTTGTGAGCTGTGCTGAGTTTGCCGATCTCAGGCCGGGCAGCTGCAAAAATGCTGCAACTGGTCTCAGTGAAATGCAAAAGGAATAGTCAGTCCATGTTCCCGTTTGCTATCCTTCGCCCCTTGTTTCAAGATATCCGGCATAGACCATGTTAACCTCAACAGTGAGGTGCTCCATTTGTCATTTTTCCCCTGCTCCCCACAATACCCGCTGAGACCTACTAAGACTGACTGCCTCGGTTCCAGGCTCATAGCTAAAAAATGGCCATTTGTACGATGTGATTGTGTACTTTTATCCCAACATACCCAAAGAGGAAAGGAGACGATAATTGAGGGGAAAACTATAAACTATAAATCGCCCACAAAATATAGTCACACCACTTTATATTATATCCAGTGAAGCGCTTCGGGGCATCTCAATCACGTGATAAATTGCTATATCAAATGCAAAAAAAATGATTGTAATATAAATTGTATTGGGCATTCAAAGGCATTCACTTACATTTTTAACTCTGTTTTAAAGGTGAACGAAGACACAGTGGAACGTCTAGTCCAGGAATATCCACATATTACATTCAGCACTGTGATGCAAGATTGCAAGCGGACACTAGAACGAGCCTATCAGATGGGCTGGATCCCCAACACATCAACAGCATCCTAATCTTCTGAAGAGTTGGCTATAAAAGCTCTTTGTGGTTATTGTAATTCTTATATACACTGATGTAAATAAGAGCCAGTGCAAAAAAAGTTACATACAGTAGACTTTCCAGGCGTTAAGTACAAAAGACCATACCGGTCCACTTTATGTTCCTGTCTATGCCCTTTTTAAGGTTGGAATCATGGATTTTCAAATATCCATGCAAGGATTTTTTAAAAAAAATAATGATAATTGGAAGGGGGAGCATTTTATGGTCTGTAGCCCAGAGTAATTTTTATCTTTTTTATTTTATGAATCATCCAGTATTTTCTTTTCTGAAATGATTGTTAAGAAAGTTTAAAGTAAAAAAAACTCTCCCTTTTACTTTCTTTCTTCTACGTCAGGTTTGGTGCTGTATCTGAAGCTCCTAAAATCTGTAATTTCTTTTCAGGTGTGACAATGATCTACCACACTTATCTGGTTCTGCTCCTGTTCAGCTGCTCCTCTTTGAAATCATCTCCATTAAGATTACATCTAATTTAGGATAAGCTTGGTTAAAAATCTGAAATCATTTTTATTAAGCTTCATTCATCCTTGATAAAATCAATTATTGCTGAAGATCAAGACTAGCAATGATTCTGTTAAGATTTCGCTGCAGTCAGAACCAATAGAGGATTTTTTTCTCCCCTAAGAAATTGTGCAGACTTTTAACTGTTGCCAACATGAGCAACAATGTCTGACTTGTACTTTGCTACCGTTTGTATGTCCTTTTTCTAAACACATAGTTGAGACTTGCTTGTGTAAGACATACGTTTTCTAATACGGTTAAAGCAAAATAAAGTGAACTTTTGGCAGTTTAAATCATTTGATTGTCAGTGTAAATATCACCCCTGCACACTTTGCTAGTTCAGTAGCAAAGAAATGTTTGGAAAGATAATAGTTCAGGATTTTCAGAAAAAACACCGTATTATTGTGCGTTACTTAATGTTTGTCATTAAATAACATCTCCAGTGCTAAACTAAGCAAAGTTATGTTGTGTTTTACATTGAAAAGCCTGGAAATCCAATATTCCAACCTTTAATATTCAGCAGCAGAGATTTACGTTCAGAACATACAATAACTGCACACTGATTTCTCATTTGTAACTGGTAGCTGATGCTGAACTGCTGCAGAATAGACATGCTATCAGATGTGTGTGTATATAACAGAGACAATACACAGTTTTTGAGACTTTATGAATTCAAAAATAATAGGGTGTAAATCTTTTTACAGGAAAATCTAGGGATCTGGAAGAGGACATTACGTGTGTGTGTGTTTTAAGATATATATTGTAGTTTTTTTTGAAGTACCACTTGCACCAGCCATGAAAATCAGTTTCTTTCACGTTCATGACTGTACAAAAAATTAGTGGAAGGCATGAAGGAAAGAAAGGTAATTTAAGTGATGTTTGGTAAATGCCCCCTTTGAGAGTCGAGGCAGTAATTGAACAGATTAAGATAACTGACAGTAGCTGCACAGTGAGTCTAACTGGAGGTCTCTGTGGGTCGTGTCTCAGATCCTGTGCAGACACGTTAAACAAGTTTGTCAATTTTCCATTAGATTGATTTTTCTCACAAGTCTGGAAGAGTTGTCTCATTTTCTCTTTTGAGAGGCAACAGTTTTCCCAATATTGTGCCTTTCTGTTTAAAACCACATTGGGACGAGCGAAAAAAAATTGGAGTTTTTAGCTGATTGAAAGTGATGATCCTTTTGTTTTCGAATGTGAACTGAACAGTGTTGCAGTTAAAAGGCTTTTAACCCTTCAGTAGCACTTTTGCATGGGAAGTACAGTAGGTCTAGCACCATTCTGTTAATCAATCAGAAACTTCTGCTGAGTAAGAATGTGGAATGCTCCATGATTTCCATGTATCGGATCAAATTATCTAAAATATACATATAAAGGTGTTTTTTATATAATCCCAGAAATATGCACATTTTGAACAATGCTAATAAAATTCGCTCCCCCTCTCCCCATACCAGCCCTCCATTACAAAGCCCTCTTGAAAGAGTGTGTCTTTTAACTTTTTAAAATGTCCATTTCTTCGTCCGAAGAATATATATTTTAAATAAATGTTGTGTATCCATCCTGCCTGTACCATCACAGCAGGCAATTCTCTATTGCCTGCAAATGACATGAAGCATTCCCCATTCTTTGTGCTCTGCTTCCTAATGTGCCCTTTCTTTGCTTCCCTCTGCTTTATCACTTTATCAATGCTGCAAGGTAAACACTACAGCATGCACTGCAATACTGATGGCTGAGCTGATGCAGAGACCAGCTGGGGTCTACCATTAGCTTTAATCTCCAAGCTGTATACAGAACGTGCACCAGATAGCCCAACAATGACTGTATGTTACCAAACAAATTGTTTGTTGCCCGTTGAGATTCTTTAGGGAGTGATTCTCCTATCTATCGTTGATAAATAATGGGAAAATCCTATTGTAAGCTCACATCAAGATCAGTAAATTTTATTTAAATTTAGAGAGTACTGTAATATTATGATTGAATAATGTTTGTCAGATTGGTGTCCCTGCCATTCATTCCCAGACTGAAGTTAGTCTTAACAAACCTCAAGGGAGACTTGAGAGCTGAGCATATTTGCTTCCCCACCCCACAGAGAGAAGAGGATATAAGCACCTGAAATACTTAATGTTATGTGTGCAGATTAACACATAGCAAAATATATAGATGAACGGACTAACTGTTAAGGAACAGGATAGAAGTCTGTTAAGAAAAAGTATAGATAGAGATGATCGAATGTTGTGTAGAAGGTGATATTCCTGAATTGCTGGGATTGTGGGAAGCAGTCAGGAGTAAATAACACAGGATTTATGGTTTGATAGATAGGTTGTGGAGTTTTGCTTGATTGAATTTTGGGAGAGGAGCAGGGAGCTATTTTGCAAATCCTTCTCAGGAGATTAAATGGGTTTGGTGGAGTCTGTGATAAATTGGAATTGTACACGATCTATGGAAGATACAGGATGGATGGGGCCAAATGCTTTTTTTCTCGTTCCATACTTTATGTTCTTAACAAACCCTGAATTTCCAAGTGACTCTCTCAGGCATTTTGTTAACAATAAAGGCTTGTTTTTTCCTATGGTGTGTTAAATTTGGTTTCTTTCAATGATGTGTTTGCTGAAAAGAGTTGTTTAATGTCTCTTGCCTAAATCACAGTCAGACATAAACAAGTTGAACAAAATACATGATCGTGAAATCTTTTTCCAGTCTGTTACATGAAGACTGTTTAATAAATGTACGATTTTAAGAAAAGCACCTCTAGGAGGATTTGTATCCTTGTGCTAATTTCACCATGTCACCATGAGGGGAATTTACGGCTGGAATAGGTTGTCAGGAATGGTGAGCGAGGCTAGGACTCTGGATTTCATGTAAGAAATGAGAGTATGTTAGGCTGGGTATTAATAATAATAATCATCATAATAATAATCTCAGTACTGGTGCTGTTTATGCACCCTTTATGGAAAATCAATGAGGTACAAGACACTTACTATAATAATAATAATAATCCTTGCATTTGATATAGCGCTTTTCACGTCGGGAGGACGTCCCAAAGCGCTTCACAGAACACACTGTAAAGTGAATTGACTGTATATTTGTGGGCGAACGCGGCAGCCAATTGCACACAGCTATGTCCCACAAACATTTGAAGCAGCCACTTACCACATTGTTGAGATATCTCAAAGTACTTCACAGGGTATTCTCCAAAGTGATATGGCTGTTTGTATTTTGTGGGCTAATGCAGCAGCCAATTTGCACATAGCAATATCCCACAACCAGCCATGGAGGGAATGAGCAATTTTATTTGGGAGATTGTTGGTTAGGACACCGGAAGAAACTCCTTTCTCTTTTCAAATAGTGCCATGGGATCTTTTAATGTCCACATGGACAGGCAATAAACAACAACTTGCATTTATATAGCTCCCTTTACAGGGGGTAGCTTCCCGGAGCACTGGTTAAAATTAAACCCTTTTTAATTACAGCTTCCCTAAAGGGGAGTTTTTCTATCCTGGATTTTATTTGCTCAGTCTGACACACACAGAAACTCATTGCCATGCTCAAAAGTATCGAAACCAACAACAACAACAACAACAAGATTCCACTTATAGAGCGCCTTTCACGTCAGGAGGACGTCCCAAGGCGCTGCACAGTTGGGTCATGACCCGAGCAGGGGGGAAATGGTCAGGGTGAGGGGAGGGAAGGGAGGGAGAGAGGAGGGGGGAAATGGTCAGGGTGAGGGGAGGGAAGGGAGGGAGCGAGGAGGAGGAAGAGAGTCGAGAGGGGAGCTGAAGGCACGGTCAAAGAGAAAGGTTTTGAGACCGGCCTTGAAGGAGGAAAGGGAGGAAGCAAGGCGAAGGCACTGGGGGATGGAGTTCCAGAGCTGAGAGTGAGAGTTTCATATAATAATAATAATCTTTGCATTTGATATAGCGCTTTTCACGTCGGGAGAACGTCCCAAAGTGCTTCACAGAACACACTGTAAAGTGAATTGACTGTATATTTGTGGGCAAACGCGGCAGCCAATTGCACACAGCAATGTCCCACAAACAGTCGTAGATTGAAAATGACCAATTTATTATTGTTTTGGTTTTTTTTTTGGAGGGATTATTATGAATGAATAATAAATGAATAGGTGCAGATTGGCAAGAACTTGAGGACCCTAGAGTGCATGTTGGGTACTGCTGGAATTGAACCATCTAAATATCACATAGCTTGCCATTGTGAACACTGTCTGGTAAGCTTCCTGCTGCTTGTCCGGCTAAAACCATCCTACCTACCAGGACTTTAGTTTGCAGGGTTAACAGGCCCCATGTGAGAAAAATCCCTGACTCCAGAGTTTACTCCTACAAGGATGCCAACACACCAGCCCGGCCAGTCTGTCATCAGCAGGAGTACTGCACAGCCATCTGACTCAGGAACTAAACTTCCGAGACCGCCATAAGCAATTGACTCGATTCCAACATTCAGTTGCCAAACACTTCATCTTGGAGCCAGCTCAGCACCAGCCAGACTCCATTTACTTTCTCCCCCCAACCCCCAAGAAGGATAGTAGCAGTTGAATGTGCCAAGAGGGGAAGTGTAGAGCTGAGGCTGGTGCTTCCCTATAGGAGGAGGAACAATTTGATGGCAAGTTGCCCTGGTCCATTCTTAGGCATTTCCAAGGGGAAAATCACAAAGATACATGAGCAAGGGTCACATAGCATGATTTTTAAGTTCTTTCCAGCCTCTCAGCCAAGAATAGCATCAGGAAAGAACCTGAAACAAAAAGGCCAATCTCCCTTTAGCTTACAGCTGTTGGCATACTTGTGGGAGTAAACTCTGTATTCCAGGGTGTCGATTGAAATTTAGAGATTGCTGCAGATTCTGTGCCTTCATGTTTCTACACCCCGAACATAGACATAGACAAAATGCATGAAGATTTCATTTCCTTCCAATTTCTTTCTGCTTTTTTTTCCATCTGCAACTTCCTCTTCTCAAATGGTCATTACAGGGTACCTCGGAATCAGGTGGTGGGCAAGTGGCTGACACACAAAAGGTACATGAGCGTGCCATGGGGTGCTTCTCTCACCTTCCACTTGTGTGATCCTCTGCCAGCACTTACGTGGTTGGTAGGTGCTCTGAGGGCACCAGCATTTTGCTGATCTAACACATCTGTCACTACCCTCCCTGTTTGACATTTAATCTTTGAAAAAATCTGCGATTATCAAGATCAGAGATACCATTACTATTGAATGGAACACCTTTTCCCCTTTTTTCAATCACAAACTCTGCCCAGCAAAGCTACATCAGTACCAGATATTGAGTACAATTCTCTCTGCTTTGCCCTGACAGTGAACTTTAGCCCCAGTCTCAGAAGAGTACCAGCCTCACCAATATAAATATAAATGTTGCTCCTTCCCTCACCAAAGCATCCTCATTGCTTTTCAGAGTGATAAAGGTAATGCCGTAGATATGGTAAATAGTAGGTTTGTTTGAAAAAAATTAAGGTGTGTGGTATTAATGGAAAAGTGGCAGCATGAATTGAAGGTTGGTAAAAGTATCGTAAATAGTGAGGTTACATAGTTGTTATTCGGAATGGAGAGATGTAAATAGTGAGCCATGTCAGGAACACTGGTCTCTCCATTTATATGAATCATCTACAGCCACCTGCCTGAGGCTTTGTCTGTGCAGCTGCCTGAGACTGTGCCTGGAGCCCCACTATGCAGGCAACAAATACCGCTACGTGCTGGGCTTCTACCTGTACCCGGTGCCAAGAAGGGTTGGTCTGGCAGAACCGCCTCGAAACGTTCCACAGAGTTGGAGCGTGCCAAACCTCCTATCCTATGTTGAGAAATTCCTGAAGAACACCATCCCTGACCCCCACAAAATCACTGAGTTTCCACGCAGCAGGTAAGGGAGAGAGGGCAGACCCGATCGGGAGCTACCCTGCTGCGACAGCCAGCAACATCTGGCAAAACGCCTCGTCACCGGCCCTGATCAACAACCATCAGGACATGGCCTGGCTGGCGATGAAAGGGGCCTTTCCCCTCAGGGCTTTCATGCACAGTCAAGGTTTGGGCCAGTCAGCACGTTGCCCTCGGGCCGGCTGCAGAGGCCAGGAGACTGTGGACCACCTCTTCCTGGAGTGTTGTTTCACAAAGGCGGTTTAGAAAAAGATGGAATGGATTCTCTCGTGGTTCGTCCCTGGGGACCCGCTGTCACGGCACTCAGTCTCTTCCTCGGCCTGTTCCCGGGCACTCACAGCGAAACCCACATCGAGTGTGCCTGGAGGATCATAAACTCGGTAAAGGAGGCCCTTTGGCACTCCCGAAACCAGCTGTTCTTCTGGCAAAACGAGGGGACTTGAGGGCCTGCCTCAGGCTCACGCACGCTAGGATCAGGGACTATATACTGAGGAACAAGCTAAAGTTCGGCTCAACTGTGGCAAAGGCCAGATGGGGACTAACGCCGGCAGGAGCCGCTTTGGCACAACCCGCTCAGGATGCACCCAAAACTGAAGGACGCTCAAGATGTAACCAAAGAGCATCACAAAAATGTATTTACGGTAAACGTGCGTATCGTGCACATCGGGGCACCTTCCAAAAGCGCCAAGTGCACCTTATCAGAAAAAGAAAATCATCTACATGTGATATGAGGGGTATAATTTCTAAACAATAATGAATTGGTCATTTCAATCTACGACTATTTGTGGGACATTGCTGTGCGCAATTGGCTGCCGCATTCTCCCACAAATATATACAGTCAATTCACTTTACAGTGTGTTCTGTGAAGCACTTTGGGACGTCCTCCCGATGTGAAAAGTGCTATATCAAATGCAAGGATTATTATTATTATTATTAAGTTTGAAGATGACACAAAATAATATTAATAATCCTTGCATTTGAAATAGCACCTTATCACACCTTTGACTCATTCCCTTCCTTGTTCTTCCCCGTTCCTCAGCCCCTTCACTGATTGACAGCCCAACTCCAGCCGCTTGTGAATGGCTGGAGTCGCCTGTCATTTGCAATTCAACTCCTCCCAACTATATTCTGGAGTTCTTCATGGTTGAAGGCTCCATACACAGAAGGCATTTTGCTCTGATGAACCGGATTTTCATCCGAATTAACAGGCATATTTAAGACAGGTTAGAATACAAATGAATTGGGGCCGGGGGTTTTGTTCGCGGATTCCATTGCATTAGATGTGGAATGCCCTGCCGGGAGCAGTGGTCAAGGCAGAATCCATATTAGCTTTCAAGAGGCAACTGGATAGATATCTAAAAAAAGTAATTTGAAGGGGCCATGGGGAAAATGCAAGTAAGTGAAACTGAATTATTGTTGTTTCAAAGAGTCAGCACAGACACAAAGCCTTCTTCTGTGCTGTAAAGTTCTATGGATTTATGACCAACCTAGTGTTACCTTGTGATGCATTGTAGGTTGATCTATACAGTGGTACAGAATGGCTCTGCTCCTGTTGTTAAATTGCCCAGCTTGTTTCACATAGGAATCTTACAACCAGAAGAAAGGAGATGCTTTCATCCAATTTAATTTTGTTGCATTCAAAAACAAATGCCAGAGGCCACTGGCATGTTACAGCTAA